AGACGCCGAGTATCTTGATCGGCCCATCCGTCCAGAGGAAAGGTCCGGGAAGAGAAACTCCCTTCCACGCACCCAACCGCAAGCCCATAGACTTATCACGGTTGATCTTGGCCCCCGTCACCATCTCATACCCACTTATTTCTTTGCTGACTTCGTTAATCTCGGCTCTGCTCGACACAAGAACCGAAACGTCGTCAGCATAGGCAGAATACCTGGCCGAGGTGGTAGCGCCAGGCAGGGTAATTCCGCGCAGGACCGGATTCGCATTTAACTTGCGAAGGAATGGTTCCAACGCAAGAACGTAAAGCAAGGGCGATAGCGGACAACCTTGACGAATGGAGCGAGACAATACGAAAGGCTCCGACCTTACCCCATTCACTTCCACCAGCGCACCGGGGTCGCATACAAAGAGTCGGATCCAGGAGCGAAAGTCGGCTCCGAAACCGGCCGCCGACAGGACAGCCTCCAGAAACCGATGGTCAACCCTATCGAAGGCCTTGGACTGATCTAAATTGATCAGCGCGGCTTCACTGTCGACTTGTTCTAAGATCAAGCGTACCATATGAAGGTTATCCTGAATCGTCCTGCCCTTCACAGCACAAGTCTGTTCGGGGCCAATCAGACGAGACAGGACAAGCTGCAGACGGTTGGCTAAGATCTTCGCCAAAATCTTTAAGTCAGTATTTAACATCGTCAAAGGGCGAAAGTTCCCTAACCCATCCCCACCGTTCTTGTCCTTACGCAACAACTTGATCACACCCCTGGTGAAGCGTCGAGGTAAAGACCCCTGCCTCATCCAGTGGTTGTAAATCAGCTGCAGCAAAGGAACAAAAACGGGCGACAGCCTCAAGTACACTTCGTAGGGAAGTCCATCTAGTCCCGGAGACTTATCCAGGCCAACCTGCTTCAGCGCATCCCAGATTTCCGACTCTGTTATGGGACCCTCGCACCTAGCCGCTTCAGCTGCCTCAAGGCAGGGAAAGTCAGCCAAATAGGCATCGAACTGAGCAGAGCTCAGACCGGGCTCCCTGGTGAAAAGATCCTGAAAGTAAAGCCGAAAGGCCTCGCATATGCCCGCGCTTGTAGTCACGGTCCGCTTATCCGGCAATGTGACGCACGCTATATGTCGCTTATCCGCGTTCCGATTTTCCTCTGCGCGCAATTCTGCGGCCATATTCGTCGCCTCAGAAGACATTCTTTTTAGCCTAGCCCCCAACTACCAGAGCTTGATCCTTCTTGATAAGCAAGGAGGCCAACTCTGCCTTAGCTAAGACTATGTCCCCACTAACACGGGATTTAACAGCCCGATCGACCTTTTCCTCTAAAGCCGTTTGCGCCGCTAATCTATCTAGATTGAGTCGACGACTAAAATCGGCAGCAAACGTTCTAATTTTAGATTTTAATTTTCCCCCACCAGGCGTTTCCCACAACCGCCCCCGTCAATTCCTCTGAATCATTAGTAGCAGCTGGTCCCGGAAATCCTGCTCACCAAATAATGAACAGTTAAATTTCCAGTAACCAGCCATCCTAACCTTAGGTTTATCTAAGTTTACACGGACCCGGACAAGCCTATGATCCGTATAAACTATATAGTGGAAACTTGGACACTCTAAGAGCCCTACATCGACTCTCCTAACTAACACTCGGTCCAGGTAGCTCGCAAGCGAGCCAGGATCCGAGTCGCCACTAGTTGTCCAAGTCCATGCTACCTCCTGAGGGTGCTCATTCCGGTACTTATCGACAAGATCAAACTTGCCGATAAAGCCCCGAAATGCCTTCACATCATGATTGTTAGTACCCGGTTTTTACCTATACGATCTATATCGGGGTCAAGGACGGCATTCCAATCCCCCGCTAAGACTACCCGACGAGAAGTCGTCAAAAACGGCTCGATCTGCCGAAACAAAGCAGGTCGCTCAGTATGACTATTGGGCGCATAAACCCCAATGAGACGTAAAGCCTTATCCTTTATAGTAACATCCAGCACACAAAGCCTGCCCGCCGGATCTGCGAAGACAAGGGTACAAGCAGCCTTCAAAGACCTGCTCACTAGCCAAGAGACACCCCTCGAACGACCATCAAAACATGCTGAATAAAGGGCGAACCCTCTAGACAGTATATCCTCACGGTCATGAGAAGAAAACCGGGTCTCTTGCACACAACAAACATTCACCCCGAGGCGCTGAAGGTCACGAGAGAGCCTCGCCCTGCGAGACTCGGACCTCAGGCCCCGCACATTTAACGTAGCTAACCAGAGAGCCATTGAGAAGTCCGATTAGGGTTGTTTACCTGCTTTAAACATGGCCGGGGTAAGGATACCGACAGCCTCTCCCATAGACCCATGGCCCATTTCAGTTTTGATGGTACCGTCTTGGGAGATTCCACCGATATCCCAGGGAAAGTTAATTTCAAAGCTCTATACAGGGATGGGTGAACTAAAACGGGGACCCTCCCTGCACAAAGTTTAGATAGCTGATTCAACTGTTCATTATGAGTGATGGCAATGGGCAAGGCCATTTTAAAAGAAGCAATCGCCTCCTCGATCATTGCCCAAATTGGCTTAGCCCCACTTCCAGTCCGCACCACTGTTAAAACTCTTTTTGGCTTGTGGAAAAATGATAGGGTACTTCCACATCTTTATCGGCATACTGCCTAATTGAAAGCAGGTACTTTAGCTCCTTAATTCGGTTTCCGTAATCTCGGCTCTCTCTGCTTGCTCAGAAGAAATTCTACAGAGGTCCTCCCCGAGTTGAAGAAGAATTTTTTCTTTTTTTTTTTCTTTTCCTGTTTGAGAGGGGCTTCTCTTCCGTTTTGGAGGGGGGAGGAGGCATTTAAGATTTCTTTGACGGGGGAAGGGCTAGGAGTGTGGCGAGGGGTTTTAACAGGAGAAGGGCTGGGAGTGTGAAGCGGGGTGTGAAACGATTATGTTGATATGGGCTGGGATCTCTACTGAGAGGACGGGCTTTTGTTGGTGAAGATTGAGGGGAAGGTTTCTTTTTGGATGAAGATGTGGACCGGGCAGAGGACGAGGAAGGAGTGGCATTTGAGTTGGTTTTAGTTTTGCTGTCCAACTTTCTTTTCAGCTCTTTTATTTTTCAAATTTTTCGAATCCCGGTCGAATTTTTTTGTTCATTTCTCTTGTAGAGAGCCCGAGCATCGCCCTTGACGTTGCCAGATGGAGTGGGGCTGTCCGTGTCTTTGGCCCCAGGGCATCAGGGGACTGAGGGCCCGCTGTCCGGATCTTCCCTCTGGCCTTACCAGCCACCAGCCATTCCCCCTCCCCTTCTCCACAACTGCACTAGCAGCGGGCGAAGGCTCTTTGGGGAATGAGGTCTTTGATGTAATCTCAACCGGTGGTTTAACCGACCCGGTCCCGGAAGCTGGTACGCCCATTACAGGCGAGGCGGAAGTTACAGACGCGGTCAGAGGGGGGATCTTTGGTAACTGGAGCTTGACCACCAGAGGCCTTCTTCTCTGGGCAGGAGGAGGAGAGATGACCAGTCACTCCACACCTCCAGCATACCGGTCTTCGGCCCGTGGCCACCTGTTGACTGCTGCTGAACTTCCCTGTGACCCCTTTTATAGCGTTTTTTTTATGGCTTAACAGGCTCGAGAAACGAAGCGAGTATAATTAGGAGGGAAGCATTTTTATTGGACGAAAAATAGGGCACTTTAATTATTATTTTATTTTTCGACCGGAACACGTGTGTCGGAAACATTTGTAAAGAAAGTTAATGGTCATTTTGTGACAGGGCTTTGTCCCGTTCACATCCGGTTCTCGCTCTTGAGTATTTGCCTGTAAATCAGCCGAGATATGTCATTTTATTTTATAACATTGTTTCCATGTCTTGCCACTTCTCATTTTTATGAGTATTTTTTGTCTATATAAATATTAGGGGTTTTAATTATTTACTCAGAGTTATAACCTCTCTATAGTAGCTGTCATTTAGTGCAGAATGTGGAATTGGCAAACCATGGTCAAGTTCTGGTTGAGTCTGTTGCATCACTTTGCAATAAGACTGTTGGGAAAGACATAAATCAGCAGGGTAGACAAGACTTTCTCACCTTGTGTGGCAGCCAATCAAAGAGAAGGGAAATTTTGAATTCCAGACTGAGAAGACAATGGAAAACCACTTCACCATCTTTCCTAAGAAGTCATGATAATTCATGTATTGTGGAAAAATAAGTGAAATTACCTGCATGTGTTGGGTTGCGGTAGAACATGGGAGGCAGAGTTTGCTATGGCTTGTTTTTTTTTTTGTAATCTTTTTACCAGAAAGGGTGGGATGTGCAGGTCTGCCATCTTGTTACTTAATACCTGCTTTCCATCCCTTCTCATCTTTTTTTGTAAGAGGGCTTTATGAGAACAGTCATTCCACTGTCTCTCTTCTTCTCTCAATTGATCTCTGACTGAAATTAGGGTTGCGAGACTAGGTAGTATTTCCCAACACGTACTGTATGGGACCAGCTTCTGATTTATCCTTTGAGTTGAAAGGAATTTTCGACAGTATAAAGGAAGATGTGAAGAGCCATGATCAGTTATGTACTGTATGCTCAACAAATCTCTTCTTTTTTTGTATTTTTTTAATTTTACACTACAGGCCTCCACCTGACTTGTTAATTGCTCATTTAATTAATTTGTTAATTTAATATAATTCACTTATTTTAATAGTTTGCCTGTTTCAAATTTACTGAATGCACCACGATTAATATTGTTAAAGTAGTGATCAAACAAAATTATTCTGACTTTTTAAAATAATCGACAAGTTAAGTTACCGAAACAAATAACTTGCATACATTTTTTTTTTTTTTTACACTAGGGACGTATTGTGGCTTTACACCGGTTACCGATTTCTTTTCTTTCTGCTTCGTTTTCAAACTAAGTGCTTATGCCGTTAAGAAAATATCTTTAAATTATCTCTCTATCTATATTCTGTTTTGTAATTACGTTGAAAGCTAGAATTAAAAACAATCCAAATTATCTTGAAAATTGACTAAAGAATTCAGAAATCGATTGGGACAGCACCATCGGACAATTCAACGACCTTCTATTTTGTTTTTATTTTTATTGTCTTTTTAGTCAAAGGTAAGTTTAGATTACGTTTACAATAATTGAATATAATTTTTTTTTGTTATCACTAGCTATTTTTCCTATAATTAAAAAATCGGTATTTTAAAAAAATGCTGTATATTAGGATAATTTTGTGTTTTTTTTTTTTTTTTTTTTTACTTTAACTTTAAAAATGTTTGTTTCCTAAACATTTTTTGAGCTATAAATAAAATAATAAATTCTTTTTTTGTAACATACTCAATATAATATTGTACGCTCCTATCACAATAATAATTCTATTCAATAAACCTTTGTAAAAATTGACCAATTTTATAATTTCCGAGATTTATTAACATTGAAAATTTTGATGATGACCAAAAAAAAAAAAAAAATCTATTTTGTTTTTTTTGGAAAAGTCTTAGTAATGACTTAGTTCAAAACTGGACCCACAATATTACTTTTAAAATTAAACTATTATGACAACACATTTTATTTTTACTTTGCAACGACACTATACATTTTTCTTCTTTCTTTTTTTTTTTTAACTCATTTAAACAAAATTATTAATTGAGAAATGACTTCAGCGGCCATTTTAATTTATTTCTGACCATCGTCCAGTGAAATATCAAACGGTCAGTTTTTTTTATTTTTAATAATTTTTTTATAACCCAAATCAAAATTGACATTATGAAATTAGCTGAGTAAAGAAATGTTTGGGTAAATTTTTCAAACATATTTTTTGGGGTGTTTGGGATTAGCATAGCACACAGGTCGCTTTTTTATCAACATAATTTGTGAAGTAGTGTAAAAAAAAAGTTAAGAAAATATATTTATCTTTTAAATCAGAATTGGAATTAAAATGTTTAAAAAATTTGATATTTACCACAGTTTAAGTAGATAAATTCTCGAAACAGACTGATTTAGACTTGTATTGCGACGATGAGGGTAATAATGAGTTTTACTTTTCTGTGAGTGCTGCACACATGTGACCTTGTGTCAAACTAGGCTTAGCTAATATCGTTAAAAACGAATTCATTTAATAATTGCGTATTGTTGATTTACACCGCTTCAAACAATTTTTTGCATAGCAAACAATGAATTAGTATTATTTCTTTAACTTGCCTCATATTCTGAGTTCTCCTTTGAGTTGAAAAGTCATTTATCTTAATGAAAATTAAATAAAACTATAAACAGGAACCAAAATGCAATATATTGCATTTTGGTTCCTGTTCTTGATATGGCAGCGGTATTCAATGCACAGATGAATGGTAGATTTATAAATGTGCAAGAGGGATTCTGGAAGAAAAAATATCTAGCATGACACTGTGAACCAACTTTCCTAGTAGTAGATGTAGGGATTGATTCGATATAATCACTTCTGCTTCATGTCAGTGAAAAATGTGAGCCTAAGAAGGCACAAAGTATTGTTCTCTTGGAGTTTAGCATCAGCCATGCTGATGACAGGCAGAAAAGGTTCTTTGTTGTGAATAAATGAAAGCAGCTTAGTTTCAGAGGTGTTAATAATTAAAAGCTATTTTTTGCCCAAGTTAACCACTGACTGGAGGCCCTTTTCAAGAGCAGTTGCCAGGTTTACTTTGTTTGATCTGTCAGACTTGCTTCTAAGATATGAGTAAATAGCTCTGCCTTGTTGGGAACTGATGACATTGGGAAGATTGTTAATGGAGATCAGAAACAGTATAGGTCCAATGATAGAGCCCTGGGGGATCCTTGCATTAGTATGAAATGATCTAGAAGCATGCCTGTTCAACACTAACTTCATTACATAATTTACTAGGAATGATTGGATTAAGCCAAATATTCGACCTGTAACAACAAAGTCCTTGAGCATTCAGAGAAAGCCAGCATGCTAAACCCTGTCGAATGCCTTTCAGATATCTAGAGCCACACCCTAAACTTTGCTGTTCTTATATAAAGCTTGATAGAGAAATTCAATGATGGCTGTTAACACATTGGTGATAGATCTGGTGGAATGGAAATCATATTGTCTGAAAGGAGACCATGCAGAGTAAGATGATTAACCAATTCAGGTTTGATTGGAACCTCAAGTACTAAAAAGAGACTGATAGTGATAATTTGAGGGGTCGGTGGGTTCACTGGAGTTCTTAAAAACAGGGTAGGATATCCAACAAGCTGGAAAGCAAGAAGCAACAAAGCATTTGTTGTAAGAACAGGAGCCAATTCAGGAGCACATATCTGTAGGATGACTGAAGGGTTACTGTTGAATCTGCATGCCTTATGGGGATCGAGTTTAGAAATGATAGCAGAGTTCATAGAGGTATTCTGTCTACATTGAATATTAAACACAGAATTAATGCCAGTATTCCAAAGAGAATAATGTTATTATACATTCTGAAGGAATTTGTTAATTTTCAAACCTTTCATTCATTATTTGATATCCGCAGACATCTACAATGTCTTATAAAGTGCAACTGTATTTTTCATTTGTCCTTCTAAAAAGTACATATAAGAAAGTAATTATGCCAATGAATTTGGTTCTCATTTTTTCTTTGTTAACTGTAAGAGAGATAGTTGCATAAGCAATGAAGAAGTCTTAAGAAAAATGGTGGAGTAAGTAGCCATGGTTAAATGCAATATAAGTGACAGAACTGTCCAACAAATAGAATTGACAAAGTTTGCAATAAACAATACGAAGAAAAAGAACAGGGCAAAAACATAATATATGCAAGGAAAATAATAAGGCAGAGCAACAGTAATATGGCAAAAAGTTCCCAAACAAAGAATTGGGATTGACACACAAAAGCAAATTCAGACAAGTGAATGTACCATTCTGACTTCAAGACAGACTGGGACTGGATCAGCTGAAACTGAGAACCAGCATGTTTTATTGGCTAGGAAAAAATCCCAGCATGCATTTATATTCTTCTGCCTATAAAAAGGGAAGGGGTTTCAGAAAATCCTAAACAAGATTGGAATCAAGAAATGGAAACAAAAAATGCTTATACTCAAAATCAGAAATAGACGAAAATTCTTGGACAAAAAATGAGAAAGGTAGGTTTGGAGAATTTGACATTCACAAGGCATATCAAAAGCTACAGGGACAGGGAGACAGCAAGCCACCTACCTGACCAGCTTATGTGAAAGGATTGTGGAACAAGGGTGGGAGGGATGGCAGAAAGACAGTAGTTACTAAAAACTACAAGGGGTAGAAAGTTATTGAAAGCCATGATTGCTTATGTCTGGAAGAGGCATGGCACATACAGAGTGCAATGAATAAACATTTAAATTATGCAAAAATGAAAATAACACTGACATCTCATTTTAACAGATATATTTACCAAAATTACACAAAAATATCTTGAAATACTAAAGAGAAAATTTATTCAATAAAATCGTTGGACTCTCACCTTGCTTAATTTGGTGAATGCTACCATAATCCTTGCCTTCATCTTTGGTGTTACAAGGAGATTTGTTGGTCTCGTGTTCAACTGCACCCCACACATCATAATTAAGGGGGTTGCAGTCTAGGGAGTTCGGTGGCCAGATGTAAGTGGTGACATAGTTTCAGAAATTGTCTGACAGCCATGACTTGGATCTCCTGCTTTTGTGACATGGTGCAAAGTCATGTTGCCAGATATAGGATCTTAGACCAGCTGCCCTCTTGATCCAGCACTACCTCCTCAAGGCACTTGATGTAGGCCACCTTGTTGAGTTACAGTTCCTGTGGTAAGATGAATGGAAGTATAACATTGCCATCACTAGTGATCACTCCAAGCACCTTTGTAATCACCATTAGAATCATCCAACACTTTACAAATCTTCTGTACTGTCCTTAGATTGACTCCCAAATACTCTGAAATGTTCATATTGGTGCTTCTGGCATGAATGCCAAACTGTACAGCATGCCATTTCCAAATTTCTGGTGGAGTGAATTGCTATTCTATATACACTGAAATATTTTGATGTCAGTGGTATTAAAACATGGTCTATTTAGTTACTTTGTTTTTATGGTTTTATTTCATTTTTTTTTTAATATCCTTACATATTTCACAATTGAAATACATTGTAATATATAAATATTTTAGGAGGAATCAAAAAGGCCACTCAAATATTTATAACCTTTTGTTTCCTTTTTATCATAAGAAATACTTATGGTATTGTCATGTTTATCACTTTAAATAATTTGATGTAATTAGCACAGAATTAACTCTGTTAAATATTTACTACCTTAAATGCATATTCAGAACCATATTTTGGATTTGAACAATAGTTATTAATTACCAAAGTAATTTTGTGGAAAAACATGATGCCAATATTATATACATCTAAAGTGTAGAATTGTTGTCAAAATGAGGCTAAAGGAAGCTAGAAAACCCAAGATTTATTCCCATTCTAAAAATTTCCCAGAAGTCAAAACAAGGATATTTTCCTGCTTTTGTGAGCTTATTGCTCTCAAATATCATCTCATATAAATTGAAATAATCTGGGAATTTATTACAAAATTTTTAAATAGCCAACTACTGTTCAGAAGACCCTGAGAACATGAAATTCTAACAATGATGGATTGCCTTTAAGTTTTTGTTACAAGACCAAATAGGCATAAAGATGCTCAGACAACTAGAATTTGAAGGGTCAGCATACCTCCTGCACCCAGATTCTTTAGTGATGCAGGTCAGTGTATGGCGATGAAATACTAACCAAGGAGTGGGCATGCATTCCCCTGATTATCTCCCACGTGCTTTCTCCTAGAAACAATGCTACAACTATTGTCTCTCCTATAATAAAGCTAGATAAGAAAAAAAATTGTCTGTCATTGATGATGTCTATACATTGGGGCCTGAAGAATTTAAACGAGGGACAGCATGAAACACAATACATTTTTCTTTAAGGAAATTAAATTTCAGTTTTTATGTATGAAAAATGGCTGAACTATATTGCCATTTTGGTGCTATATTTGTTTTTTTTTTTCTTTTTGATGTATGACTTTTCTAATCCAGTTCAGAAAGGGATTTAAGATAAGTGGAGTCAGAAGAGAAATAAAAAAAAAGTTAAAACTTTACCTGCATTTTTCAAATCCATGTGCAGCTGATGCTAAAATCAAACCCTGATTGTTTCTTACCCTCATCACTAGAATTTGCTGTATTACTACTTATATAATCATGAGTGTGAATGAATTTCTTCGTTTAATGAATAATTTCTCCCTTCTTCTCTATCATAGCTTACATAAACAATTTGTATTTATAATATATCTGTAAAATTGAGAAATTAAATCTTGAAGTATCTGTAATGTTGTTTATAAGTAACCTACTAGTCTCTTCAGAAACATTGAGGTTAATCTATAATCATTTGAATCCAATATAATTTTAAATTAACTTAACATCATATTTTGTAACAAAACAGCCATTTCCATAAACAATTTCATATCATTTCTTTTTTGGTATCTTATTTTTTTTATGGTTAGCTTTTTCAAAGTAAGTATTAATACAAGAATTTATAAAATGTATGTCTATGTAAATGTCAGATGTACAATATATGAAATTTGATTAGCTGATAACAGGCATGCTGTCTGAATATTTTTGTTTACATAATTGTACGTAATTTGTTTTTCTTTTTGACTGAATCTTTGCTATTTTTCATTTTCAGTTTATATTTTGTCTAGATTGAATGAACACAATGAACAATAATAGGAGAAAGGCAACTTTACAATGTGAAGTTTGTAAATTATTAGTTTCATGTAAGTCAAAACTTGTGCAGCATATGAGGATACATACTGGAGAGAAACCTTTCTCTTGTGAGGTTTGTGAAGCCAAATTTTCCCAGAGTTCTCATCTCAAATGCCACATGTTAACTCACACTGGAGAGAAGCCATTTCCTTGTGAGATTTGTAAAACAAAATTTTCCCGGAGTTCACATCTGAAACAGCACATGCTTATTCACACTAAAGAGAAGCCTTACCAATGTGAAGTTTGTGAGGCTAGATTTTCTCAAAGTTCAACTCTGAAACCTCACATGTTAACACATACTGGAGAAAAACCTTTTCCTTGTGGGATTTGCAATACATCTTTTTCTCGAAGTTCTACTCTCAAAAGACACATGCGAACTCATACTAAAGAGAAACCTTACCAATGTCAAATTTGTGAAGCAAAATTTTCCCATAGTTCAACTCTCAAGCAACACATTTTTACACACACGGGAGAAAAACCTTTTCATTGTGAATTTTGTGGAGCAGACTTTTCTAATAGCTCAACACTTAAAAAACACATTTTCACTCACACTGGAGAGAAACCTTTCCACTGTGAGATTTGTGGGGCAAAATTTTCACAGTTATCTGGTCTCAAGCCTCACATTTTAGCACATACTGGTGAGAAACCTTACAAATGTGAACTTTGTGAGTCAAAATTTTCTAGGAGTACAAGTTTGCGAAGACACATGTTGACTCATAATAAATAAATGCTTATATGAAGTGAGGTTTGTTGAAAAAATTTTTCTTATATCTTATGTATTTATCACTAAAAAACGTTTCTATTGCCTCATTTGTAACCCAACCTCTTTTGACCTGTAAGCACATTCTGAAAAAAAGAAAATATTCAATTAAATTTTTATAGCATATACAATTCTCATATCAAACTACATGAAAACTCTGAACTCTTAAGCAATATTTTCACTATTTAAATATTAAACCTAAATTAAAAAATGTATGGATAATATTTTAATGCTTCAAATTTCAGCTTCAGAATACTCTTGAGCTGTAGCTTGATAAATATTTCTATCACAGAATTTTGTATGAAAATAGATAAGCGTTATCTTTTTGATTAACTTTGAGAGGAAATTACAATGGGATGAAAGAAAGATTATTGTTGAAATCATACCTTCACATGTTATCTTCAATGTATTATGGGAAAAAAACGGGTCTGTTTTCATCTTTCTATTTTTTCTTTTTTACACTCAGAATTTTTACTCACATGCAAATAACACAGTACTATATAATAGTTATCTCCCTTGAACCTCCAGTTCCGCATAAATGCCAACCTCACACAATATTATCATTCAGTTGCATATCATCTGTATATATATATATATATATATATATAGAGAGAGAGAGAGAGAGAGAGTTGGGATCAAATGTAGCTCAGAGTCCAACAGAATGATAAGATAAAGAACAAATAGGAAATGTTTATCAGTCTAATATGTTTCACTTTTATTAAAGCTTCATCAGAGACTGAGTTATGGAGAAAAAGAGGAAAGAAATTTTAGTATTTTTATATTATTTTTACACCAGAATTTCTTTTTCTTTTTCTCCAGACTACAGTCTTTGCTGAAGCTTTAATAAAAGTGAAACATGTTAGATTGATAAACACTTCCCATTTGTTCTTTATCTTATATATATATATATATATATATATATATGTGAAAATATATAGAAAATAGGAAGGAACTGGTTAGGTAAATAGTCCAAAGTTCCTTAGTATTTTTGTTATTATTTTAAAAAATTATTTTTAAAAGAGTGCTTAAAAAGAGAGTAAATATAATTATTTATTTAAAAATATGATTCCAAATCGCTACATAAGAGGTCTCATGTTTTTCAAAACAAGAGCCAAAACTTCAATATAATCCTTCTTGTTTTGAAACATGAGACCTCTTATGTAGCGATTTGGAATCATATTTTTAAATAAATAATTATATATATATATATATATATATATATATACATACATATACACACACACACATAAACAGGTTACATACCAACATACAAAATAAAACTTTTGTATTATATAAATAGGACTGTTTTTAAATTTATTAAATGAAAACAAAAATACTTGTGGGCAGTGTGACTGAAAAGAAATTGTCGTTCAAAAGAATAACAAGCAATAGACATAGAGTAATTGAAGCAAAACTAAAAATTAAAAGCATTTTCTAAGATCTAAAAATCTGGTGAAAATGAAATGTAAATAAATTTGTGTGGCAGATCCAATAAATTCTAGTGACTGGAAATTTTGTAAGATAAAGAATATTTTTCATCTTTAGTATCCAAACCTGGAAGAGTGCAAATTCAAATATTAAAAGTAAAAATGTGATAAGTGCTAATTGCTTACATTAAAATTTTGATTTCATAATTAATACTATTTATATTAATTATAATAAACTTTCAGCCACATTCATTCTTGCAATGTTTTAAATGAAGCAGTAGAATTAAGTAAAAGTGTCTTTTTTCTTAGAATTTATAATAGATTTGCTAAAGTAACCTCCTATCAATAACAACATTGAAAAACATTTTGCTCATGCCGAGGTAGTAGTAATTAATAAGAATATGGAGAATTTTGGAATTTAGGTTGATGTTTTTTCTGTGATTAAGTATGGACATGGAATTTTTTTCTAGAACAAAAAAAAAAAATTCCCTATTTTCATTCCATAATTAAATTTGAACCAATAAATCCTCAAGCATAAAAATTGTATGACTATAGAACTATTTGCATAATGCAAAATGTTGGAACACTCACTGATCTCACTTGTTGCTTGAAAAATGAAAACAAACCTTTGGTTTACAAATATAATTACAAATCCACTCAATTTAAATTTTAAGTTTGTGTTGGAGTCATTATAATTGCAACCATTTTAAATTTAATTCTGATTTCCTTCCAAAATTTTTAATATTATTTTTAATTAGCCTTCTAATTTTCACACTAAATTTATGTAAACTGAAGAAGAGTGTTATATTTCTTTGAAAACTATAATTCATTTTTATCAATTAACTGTTAATGCATTATAATTTAATGTTTTTACGCATTCTGACTTACTTAGAAAATGTACATCAAGATAAATAAGAAGTTTAAAATAGCAGAAGATACTCTTCAAAATTAGTTTGAAAAGTGAGAAAATCTTCTCCAAGGAATAAAATTCAATTAGTTTTGATGGCTGAGGACAATTTAAATAATTATCTAGATTTTTGTCTGTACAGATCCAGAATCTTTTCTTTGAAATGCTTCAAAAGGAAATAATTTCTGTATGAAGGTCATCTGCATAGCAGATTTCGCATTTGACCCAATACAGTCCATGTTGCACCAACTCTTCAGACTGGAGAGATTTCTCCCTGACTTGCCTTTATTGATTGATCATAATTTTCTTGTTTTTTCATTTACTATATTGACATTGTTTTGCTCAAAAAGCAAAAAGAATGCAAATCACTTTGTTCTCTCTTTATCCACTTTATCACAGGACTTATTTCCCCCCCAATTATCATGAATATTCGTAAGGTTTACAGCAGAAATATTACTCCTTGACATTGTGCTGTTCTCATACAACAACAAAAAAAAGGACTTGGGTTCTATCACAGGTGAGTTCCAACATTTGCAGTATGTGTATGTCACATGCCGGATGATTGTTTTGCTAGCATGAAACTTGTAAGTTGAAATTATTTGAGATTTTTGTCTGGTTTTACCAATGCTCTATCAACTTATTGATACTGAATGCTCTTTTTCATAAAGAAAAATATAGTCATATTTGTTGAATATTTATTGAAATTATTCACTATATATATAATATGCATGTGTGTGAAGATGATGAGACAAATTGAAAAGAGAAGTTTGCATCCTTTGGCTTCCTCAAGTTAGAATTTAACCTGAAAATTAAATCTTTAAGCTAAAGAGAGCAGACATCCTCAGTGAAATGAGTCATTAATAAATTTGCCACTTATCTCATCATCTTCAATTTTATTTCAGATACTATTATACATTCTACAAAGGCACATGCACCTATTTACAGAATGTATCAAAAATACTTTTACAAACTTTGGAGGCAGGTTCCTCACACCAAAACAAGGACAAAAGTCCATATAAAGTCCATGAAAGCTGGATAGGTGGGGGAAGACTAGTTCCATGGCCTTCACATTCCCCTGACTTCAATCCATTGTATATTTTTTTGTGGGGCCACCTAAAACAATTGGTTTATGCAGCAGACATTCATAATGCAGAGATGCTTCATCAACGTAACATGTGGGCCTGCAAAAACCATTTGAAAAGGGTCCACCAGTCAATCTTCCGACGTGTATGTGTGTGTGTAGAAGCAAGTGGAGGACATTATAAACATTTGTTATTAGTTGCTGATGGCCTTTCGTCCGTATGTTTATCTGGACATTTTACCATGTTTTGGTGTCAGGAATCTGCCTATAGAGTATTTTTGGATTGTAAATTTAACAGCATCTATTGTAAACTTTAAACTTAACTCAAAAACAGGATTTGCAAGCATATGTTTATATGGACTTTTGTCCTTGTTTTGGTGTGTGGAACCCACCCACAAAATTTTAAAAAGTATTTTTGATACACCCTATATATATATATATATATATATATATATATATATATATATATATATATATATATATATATATAGGGTGCTGTAGTGAAAGAGATAAGATTCAAGGTATATTCAGACACACTGGGAAAGTTGGTAAGTGAATACCACTTATCCGTAGACATACAGCTAGTCAGATCACAGCAGAACAAGGCCGATACTTTAACAAGGGTACCCCAAAAATAGCTTGACGCTATTAAGAAAGAGGTAGAGCCGGAAGGAAAATTCGGGCATTTTTGGCTACGGCGTTTGTTGGTCTTCAAAGTAGCACAGATGGGCGGATCAGAAAACTTGACTTCCGCATTTTCT